ATTTAGACGCTCGGACAAACTTAAGTCAATAGGAAAAAAAAGTTTACGCAACCCGGCATGAATCACTGAAAATAGAAATGAAACCTAAACATATGACACACACATTTGAATTGAAGCCTTACACGCTACGAAATGATCGCTATTTTACGAAAGAGTCCGTATGTGCCCAAAATAATCCGTGCTTCCTAAGCGTCAGATACTAAATTGTACATATGTATATGCACTGCATATCTGTTTGACATAAGAAAAGATGACAATTACATATCAAGTTCGGTATTTCAAACTCAAAGCCGAAAGCAAAAGGCCCCAGAGGAATTCTTTAACGATCTGCATTCTTCTGTATTGGGAGTAATTTACACCGACGCCGCGAGGAACGAGGACGGAACCACGGCCTCAGCACTCAGCTGGCACCGGCGAATCAAAAAGCAAATACCTGCTCAATAATAGCAGCACAAAAACTGTTGAACTATTGGCCGTACACTGGGCCCTCGTATAGTGCAATCCGGCCGCACACATGTACATCTACACAGACTCCAGCGAAGCAGTCAAGGCGTGCAGAGGGACAGACTGTAGGAATAAGATTGCAAAAGACATCAAACATACAGCTAAGATCCTTCGCCTAAATGGACGCAGTTTGCACATCGCATGGATCCCAGGACATCAGAGAATTTCGGGAAACAAGGAGGCCCACGAGACCGCGCAGATTGAGCTTAAAGCATCCCACGCCGCATCAGGTCACGAGGGCTCCCCCGTCACAACCCAACAAGAAGATCTGGACCTCGATTAAATGAAAGAGGCAAGAACAGCTCGGAAACAAGCATCACTGCTGCCCGAAGAGGCTTCCCTTTTCCATGCAATTACTCAAGGTGGGGGAGGGCATGCATTCGACGCATCGCCACCAACACAGCCCTAACACCTGTGCTGAGAAGGAAGTTTTATAGGTCACACGAAGAAGACGACCCTGGTCCCGACTTTAACTGCAAGACTTGCAAAACCCCGGCTACTTGTAAACATCTAATATGGGACTGCGAAGCAAACAAACAACTAAGACAAGACGCACTCCTCAGCATTCCGGAAGACGCACGACCTCAAACATACGAAGAGTGGGTAACCCCCCTGAAAGAAAACGCAAACAGGATCAAGATCCTGAACTCTTTACTCACCTACCTTAAAGGGATACTGAACCGAAATTTTGAGCTCACTAAACAAGGCCGGGCGGATAGGCGGGAAGCTGCAAGACCAAAAAATATCACTCATACGGCGATATATCTAACGCATCGCGGTATTTTTTTGGAAAAGAAGTGCGCGATTGAACCCGGCCGACGAGGCCGACGAGACAAGGCACGTCACGATTCCCATTCCCTCTCCTCCTCGCTACGTCCCGTCAAGCTGGTGAACCGAAGCGAGGAGGACAGAGGCGAGGCCGCTCCTCCTCATTCTCAAATTCTCCCGGAGGACAGTTACGTCAAAGAACTCGCTTGATCGCGCCCTTCTTTTCCAAAAGTACGGCCACCCGTTTGAGATATCGATGTACGAGTGATGTTTTGGGGTTCGTAACGTCCCGTTCAACACTTCTGCAGCCTTACTTTGCGAAATCCAAATTTCGGTTCAGTATCCCTTTAAGGCAGTGAACTTCACACACCTCATCTAACCCTCCCTTTCCTCCTCACACCCTTCGTCTCTTCCTAATCATCCCGTCACACCAGATGACTTCAGTCAAGAGGTGTGGCGGACCCCAATCATTTTAATAAACGTTTTCTGACCTGATCCGTATTGGGAGGGAGTAAGCGCTGGGTGCCCGCACTTGTGGATACAAACTTCTAAGTAACTTTTTTTAAGTGCACTACTCCAAATTTCATTAATGTTTATGGTTTGATATTGAGGTAATTTCTAACGATAAATAGAAAGCCTTACATAGGCAAAAATTCTACTTAGCTCGCCCATATATATGTACCCATATATATGTACAAATATACATCACTCTCCTCCCATACTGGTTCTGTACACTCCTCCTCTTCCTCCTCCGTACCATTATGGTGCCTGGAACGCGTCTCCGACTGGTGTGTTTACCGCGGCCAAAAAAGTGGTCCCTCGATTTCCGCCTGATGAGGTCATAAAAGTGTCATGCTGTCGCCGGTCGCGACCCTGGCGGCGTCTCAACAGTTGTGGTACATATGGCAGACGCCTGTTCTGCTGCAGGTCGCTCTCCACTGTGACAGTTCACGGAAGCTTCAGCAGCCGGAAGTTGGACGCCTGGGACGCCGTGACGACAGCGACACTCGCGTTCGCTCGTGCTTTTCGCCAGCATTTCTGCGGCCAACCGCCAGGATCGTGACATGCAACAGCATGACACTCCGGCTTCTTTGACGTCATTTGTTGCCACATTGGGACCACTTTTGATGTATGTGCGGGATAGGACGCTAAACACACCAGTCGAAGACGCGATCCAGGCACCATAGTACCATTCTCCTCCGTAGTCAACATCTCCGTTACCTGTGATATGTTCCTACCCTGACTGCTCCGTATATCTAGTCACATAAATTATTTTAGCAAATTAACCAGCCTCACCGAGCAGGCGCACGGATAATCCTGGAGGGTCTATCCCCGTCTCTTCCGACATCTTGGGACTACTGCCCCGCCATCTATGGGACGTTGGAGTTGCGAATAGGAGACGAGCGCGACCAAAAACGTCGCAGATGACCGGCCTTCCACGAGTGACCAAACGCTTTCTATGACGTAATCTTGGTCGTGACGTAACAAATAGGATTCTAGGAACCATTAGAGGGCGCCACCAAAGCATCTCGTCACCAAGACTCCGTTCACCCGTGAGCTGCGGTGGGAGCTACGTGCCTGTTCCATCACCTGACCCGACTCTGCCCTGCGCCTGGGTATGGGCGGGAGCGTGACCACATGGCGAAAGAGTAATGTATGACCGGTCCAACGAGGACGTAGCTTCCACCGCAGACTCGGGAACCAATTAAGTACAAATGACACGTATTTTTGAAAAGGGTCTATTCCTTTTCCACCATCTCGTTGCCGCCTTTCTTTTCTTCGTTGCACTGAAACAAAATCCCAACCCTTGAATATACAGATTCCCATTGCTTTAATATCATAAAATTCAAGTGAAACGCACGCGCTTCGACCACAGATGAAAGATGGCAAAAACCCTCCATTTTGCTGATTCGGAATGGCATCGATGCGTTTCCAACAGTGACCGTGGGTAGTCAAGTTTGCAAGATTTATAAAAAAAAAAAAAAAAAAAAAAAACCTAGGGTCGGGACTAGCACAAAGCGTCATCTCTTGTTGCTCTCGTCTATGGATGCTTAGAAGAAAGGAGGGGAAAACGTTACAACTGCAGGCCCCGCTCGCAGATGCGGGGAGTTCAGGGGCACTCCGTCCCTTCCTGTATATGGCACGTACGCCGAGTACCCAGCAGACTGTGATATTCCACGCCAGGCACATCGCCCGAGTCAAGGTCAGGGACAGCATTCCAAATTAAGGACGTAGACCCATAGCCTCCTCTATACTCACAAAGCCTAGCAGTTCGACGACGGAGCAATAGAGTGCCCCGTCGCAAATTTGGAGCGCGAGGATCTGATAGCATGCATTTCTGTTAATCAGCGCACAGCTTTTGCAGCGGCGAGGACCGAAGCATGATTTTCAAACCCGGCGAGAAACGAAGCCGTAGCGCGAGGAACGCGAGGAGCACGAGCGGACATTCCATCGCTTGGGAGAAGTGTGTTTCAGCGTCTCGCCGCAGCGGGGCGCCAGTTACATGACTCTCCTATCCGTTGTCTGTCGCTCTACCTTTTCACTTTCGGCGGCCGCGGTAGACCGTACTGACTGGCTCAGTCATGCATCATCTTTGTCGTCTTTTTTATTTACCATTGCGGTGGCGCCTTCGCGTGTATACTTCGTTTCAGCTTCGATCCAGACGCAGCCGATGCTACAAGCGCGAGCATGTGGCCCAGAACAGTGCTTGCACTGCACGAGCGCGCGTGCTTGGCAGGGATGCCGAAAGCCCGGAGCTCGCGCTTGTAGCTTTGGCTGCGTCTGGACCGAAGCTGAAACAAAGTATAGTTTACAGCGCCAGATATCAGACATGCTGATAGGTGGCAGGAATTTCGCTTATGGCCTCATGGACCTGTATTGACCCCAGGATCACGAGGCTCTGCAGAGCGAACTCCTTTTCCAAGCTTCACACTCGGATTCTGGTCCCTAAAAATTTCAGACAGTACTTTGGTACTTTCTAAAAAAATAGTCATACGTAGGATATGTTTTTGGGTCCATAAATATCAGTGCATTGGTTGACGTACCGCGAGACCCATACCGCAACTTACGGCGTCGATGCTTATTGCATATATATGATAACCGCATTCGGTATTTTTGTCCCCTTCTTGCCCCTCGTGTTTCCAGCGTTTCACGAAGTAGTTCGGTAGTGCCCTCTCCCACCTCTTGCCAATACCTTGCAAGCGCGACTGTGCAATAAAAACACGAAAAAGAAGACAACGAAAGTACAGCCGATGCCATGCGGCACGTGACACACGCGTTTTTATCAGCAGTTCCACCGGCCAGTACTTTCTAAGCTGCGACACACTGACCTTCATGGGCTCGAGAGGACCTTCGAATGCTGCATAAAAGAACTGGTACTCCACAATAAGCCAATCAGCTGCCATCACAGTGACATCTAGAAACCTCATCTGCTTCTCGAATCGACGCTGTTCCCCAGCACTCCCCCTCCCGACGTGAACGATCTGGCCGCGAACAACGATTTCTGGCGCAGCGTCTTTCCACGGACCAAGACGGCGTCCCAAAGCGTCAGCGATCACCAACAGGAAGCCCGAAAGCACAGCGACAGTTCACTAGAGCCAGGAAGGTTCTCCTACTTGGACTTACTAAGCAGAACGGGTTCGTATACGTCACGGAATCCAATGGGTCGGAAGCCGAAGCCAAAAGGCTTTTCCTACCAAGGACCTCCGGCAAACACTCCAGGGATCAATATGGAATGGACGCAAGGAGAAGAGAAAGCTTCCAAGGGGGCACCTGACCGCGAGATCACCAAAGTAGAAACTGGGAAGTACAAGGAAAACCCCGAAGACGTCGCAGACCATGAAGACGATAGAGAGGAAGAGGAAGAAGCACCACCCCGCCCACGACGTCGTCGACGCAGAGGTCGCGGCACTACCACTGCCGGGCAGTGGACGTGGGTTCAGGACAGCACGGCTGTCCCGACCTGCGTCGTTCTCTGCGTGACCGTGATCATAGCTTCCATCGTGGTCATAATGGTGACGCAAACCAACTCAACTCGCCAGACAAAACAAAAGACAATGCCCTCGACGGAGGCCCAGGCAGCCCAGTTTCAAACCGAGGTCACGTCGTCTGTGAAACCCCAGGCCAGGATGGAATGGGAGCCCGCTCCGCCATATGACGAAACAGGCCTCGGAATAACGGACTATCAGGAGCCGCAGTTGGATAACCCAACCCGAAGCGTCTTCCAGTGTAGCACGGAAGCTTGTCGCTGGCAACGCAGCCTCGTCGACGACAAGCTCAACCTGACGGTAGACCCCTGCAAGGACTTCTATGCTTACGTATGCTCCGCAGCTTGGGACTCCAACGGGGCCCTCCCCTACAAGGCTGCCGGGCAGACTTACATCATAGGGGAGGTTTTGAAGTTCATCGGGGAACACGGGCACAGTGTCCCGGCGGCTTGGACAAACCGGTCCAGTCTGAACTTCCTCGACCATTCCAGCATATTTCTGCTCAGATGCCTCGACAATAGCTCGAGTGTTCAAGGCCTCATGCAGTGGGACGGAATCCGAGGTCTCCTCCGCGAGGTCGGGCTGGACGGATGGCCGTACGTCGACCGACCAACACCGCCGTTTCACCTGGACGACGTCTTGAAGTTGGTGGACCGTCGGCTCGCTATTTTTGCCTTTATGCGGGTGTTCCTTCGAAAGACCATAGAGGACGGCGTCTACGTTCCTCACCTAGACTCCCCGAATAACTTCCTGCTCGTACGATATGAGCTCTTGAAAAATCCCCAAAGTTTACCCTACAAGGAGGTTATCAGGAAGGTTCTCACGCTGTGGAAATCGCTGCGAAAAGGCAATGCCCTCGCGCACGACGTGATTCGCCTGGAAGAAGAATTCTTTAACGCCTCCCAGCCCTTCAGAAAGCCAGTCTGGCGTAGGAACATGGTTGTCCCAATCCAGAAGCTGCCCAGGCTGCCTCGACTACACCTGGACGCTTACCTATTACACCTGAGACGAGACTCTAAGGAAGTGGTCATCCTCAACCCACCCTACATCGCCAAACTCTCTACACTACTTCAAAAATCTGATCCACGGACCTTACTAAACCTGCTGGGTGTATGGGTGGTGGTTTTGACATCTCCATTTTTACCACAGCCTTACCTTCCTCGTGAGTTGCTCAACATGAGTCATCCAAACCATAAATCTCATCTGGACCCTATGGCGCAGAGTTGTTTCCACCTGATAGGGAGACTGTTCCCGCACGGCGTCAGGTGGATGCTTCGGAGAATCCTGACAAGGACAGCCAATCCTGATCGCCAGTGGGAAACCATGACAACAGCTGTGGTCTCTGCGTTAGCCAACTCTTTAAAGGAAGGAACTTCTTGGATGGAGAAGTTCGAGGCAGCCGCCGTTGCTACTCGGCTAAGGTCACTGCGAGTAAGTTACCTTGCAGGCAGAGAGCCACTAGAACAGGTATCCTCTTACTATCCCGTAACAGACGTTACCTTCCAGACCTCCACTTCTCTGAAGTACTACACCGATCTTTTAGAACGCACTCTACAGAAATACTGGGAATCTGAAGAAGGCTCCGACTTGGACGCTCGCTATAGCGAATCTTTTCTAACTTCCGACCAGGACAGCGACTGGGAACGCTCTCCAGAATCCCCGAGCAATATATACCTCGCGTCGAGCAGTTTGGCCTCCGCTTCTCTCGTGACCCGGTCTGCAGTGCCTTCTGCGCTCATCCCACTCATAGCTGGTGATCTCGCAAGGGCGCTTTTTCTGTCTTCTCTGGAGGAGGCCAATTGGACGGCAGTGACTCAGGACCGATTTCGGGAACTCGAAGTCTGTCTTCTGGAGCGCTACAAGAAGGGACGTCATCATAACACAAGGGACTTCCTTATGGTCGCACTGTCGGACAACGCAGTGCTCAAGCCGCTCGCCATAGCGTTCAAAGACGTCGGTTATGGCGCGCAATTTGTTCCCGGTAATCGGGGAGCGAATCTGACGCTATGGAGGCTGTTCTTCGCCAACTTCGCGGCTGGGTTCTGCGTGCCTGGCGAGAGAGCGCACCATGAAGAAGACAGGCTGAAGTGGAGGATTAGTTTGCCTGCCAGGTCACGCGTTAATACGGCCCTGTTAAATTCGCCGGAGTTTCGGCACGCCTTCAAGTGTCCGGAACGAGTCATGGCGTCGCAGTGTTCCGTGTGGGGTAGCAGAGGTGCTGCGAAGGTCGCCGAGATCGGCGCCATCAAATTACGATCGCTGTGAATTAGTCTGGAACGTTTCACAATAAAATTAGTATGTATTCCTATCGGAATAAACGTTTCTTTCTAGGCTTCTAAAAGCTTTAGACAATTATGTGCACCTCGTCTCCATATGGTCTTGTTCGTCGTCGTTACGAATTACTGATCTCTACACTTCGTTTCAGCTTAAAGGCCGACCTACAGAATTGTCTTCTGCCGGGCAGAAAACCAGTTCCAAGTTTCTTTTTCTCCAATTCCCTCTTGCACTCTTCTCTCCTCTTTCAACAGAAGCGCGTCTCTGAGCTACTCCCCCCAGAAAGGAGGAGCGTCTCCCTCTTTCTTGAATGAGAAGGAGGAATTGAGGGAGAGTTTCCTCCTTTCTGCTGACACATCAAAATCATTTTTTTTATTATTATTATCAGAAACGATTGAAAACGATGCCGGGACATAACCCTCAAAATTTGAAACTTGGGAATTCAGTATTTGTGAAATAAAAAAACCATCCCAATGCCGAATTTGAAGTTCCCGCGCGATCCCCGCCAGTGGAGTGACGTCAAATTTTGCGGTCTCCTGAGAGTCGACATTCTCTCGGACCTCCGCTCCACGCTACAACAGTGTTGCCAACCGTAGGGTAATTACCCTACTTGTAGGGTATTTTAGGCATTTTGGTACATTGTAGGGTTGTAGGGCCGTCCGGCCATTTCCCTGCCAAAAGTAGGGTATTTTCAGACGTTGCTTCTTCAAGGGCAAGCATAATACAAAAAATTAAGAAAAAGCTGATGTGCAAGCTTTGCATAACTTTACAACGCGTGTGCTGCCACACCACGACATCATGCAAAACGAAAGTATCCAAGTTACAAGACGTGCTAACAGAGTGCACCACACGAAAAGCTGGAGTAAAGTCCCTCGATGTTTTTTCTGGAGAGTTTTGGAAAGCTGGAGCAAGTGGGAGGGGAGGCGGGAGGAGGAGTAGTTGCGCATATGGAGTTTGGAGCCAGAAGAGGTATCTTCCCAGTGGAAATGTTCCCGCCAATTTTTTTTCTGATGACTCTGGTCCATCCGGCGGCCTTCGTTACACCTGCGAAACACGTGGCACCGCGGGCGGAACCAGGCCGAGCCCACCAGAACCGGCAGCCACCTGTTCAACTGGACTTTTCTAGGCGCTGGCGTGCGGTGCGCATGCTGCAAATAACCATAGCGGGAACTACCACTCGTGCTGGGAGCTTTTTTTTTTTTGTTATGGCGCATTGCGATTAACTCTCCTTACCACGCCCATAGAGCGCTGATCACGGATGATCGACGAGTACGGAAACCGATTTCAAACTCCCGCGGAGCTTCCTGGCACGTTGTGCAGTCGGTAGGGAGTTTGAAGACTGTCAACCGACTGCGCAAGTAGTTGGGACTGGAGGCGTTCACTTGAGTGAACGACGTTTTAGCGAACAAAGTCGAAACCATCGCGTTTCATCGAATGACACTTTAGCGAATACGAAAGAGCCGCCGGTTTCCTATCCTCCCCCGGTGTAATAGCCTAGTTTGTCGAAATATTACCTTAGTTTGACGAATCCCTAGGCGGCTCACCCAAAGAATAAGCTAATATACCGTTCCGATTAGCTTCCTTGTGTAATGAGCCGCCTTGTCTGTCGCCGCGAATGCTGGTCCCACGCAGCCCAGTTTTAAATTTGATGTCAAATCAGCTAAACATGTTGGTTGGGGATGTCTGTGCGCTCGGAGCAACACTGTTGTGCTGATGCTACACAGCGCGCATGCAAGCATGGTGTTCTAAAATAACCCAGGTATGCGCGTGCATGCGTACCCTGTCGTTTTGTACCGTATTAATACTACCCTATATCAGCATAATCCATTCAACAGCATTATTTGAACACAGACTTGCCTCGTAGGGTAGAATGTAGGGTAATAAGAAATATTCGTAGGGTAACATAGGGTTTTCTGGACGCTGGCGTGGGGTATTTTCAAAAAATAGGTTGGCAACACTGCGCTACAAAGCAAAGCGCCATTGCCACCGCGACCCGAAGCGCCGGCCGGACCGGGGAAAAAACGATATCTTCCCCCGACTCACCGATTATCCTCTGCTCGAGCGCCGCCAAGTTTTCCGAGGGAGGATTCAAATAAAGGAAACGACATCACACCGAACTTTGATTTTTGGTATTTCAAAAAGAGAGGCGGGAATGCGTTCGCAATTGCGTTAAAAAACATGGTTTACGATTGCCGTTATGAAATGTTATAGAAGTCTCCTAAAATTTCTGATTCTTGACGTCACCCATCAAAAGAAGCAAGGAGGTGAGCAGTCTTGGGTTGCCAAAGGCATGGTAGCGCTTTTTTGGACGAGGACAAAAGAAAGAAAGACAAGACAGACACGAGCGCTGACTGCAACTATTTAATCAACATGGAAATGAGGCATATATACACGCTTCGATCCTATCAATCAACCAACCCCAGGCCTAGCCGCCACTTGCATGAACTGCACCTCCTTATCGAAAAGATCGATAGATGCAACGCTGACACACCCCAGCCCTGCCCTTTTTATCTCGTCCGCTTCAATAATCTCCCTAACAGTTCTATTTTTATGTTTACATACATACATACATACAAACATAAAAATAGAACTGTTAGGGAGATTATTGAAGCGGACGAGATAAAAAGGGCAGGGCTGGGGTGTGTCAGCGTTGCATCTATCGATCTTTTCGATAAGAAGGTGCAGTTCATGCAAGTGGCGGCTAGGCCTGGGGTTGGTTGATTGATAGGATCGAAGCGGGTATATATGCCTCATTTCCATGTTGATTAAATAGTTGCAGTCAGCGCTCGTGTCTGTCTTGTCTTTCTTTCTTTTGTCCTCGTCCAAAAAAGCGCTACCATGCCTTTGGCAACCCAAGACCAATACCAACTAGCCCAGCATACAGCATTGATGAGGTGAGCAGCGGGGGAGAAAAGCGCCGAAAATAAAAAGGCGCGCGCGGAAAATTTTTTTTTTTTTTCGCGATGCGTTTTTTCCTTTTTTTTTTGCGTGTCTATGACTACAAGTTGCATCGTTTTAGACAATAAAAAAATACGACCTTTGGGGTGTCAGTGTCCCTCTAAGCACAGACCACGGTGAAAGATACACCCTTTAGGAGAGGACACGGCGGGGCTGAAGCCGCTGAACGCGCGGCGCGAGAAATCAGATAGTGTTCGTTCGACGGGCATCCGAAAGGCTGCATTATTCTGCGGCCACCGTGCCCGCGGATGACAGTGGTCTTTCTGCACGAGCGACAACCTCGCTGGAGCTCTCGCGCGTGTGGAGCATGAGGCAGCACGAGCCGACTTTACCGTGCCCACGGGTCGACGAGTCATCTGCCGGCGCCGCTTGAAACCATAGTGAAAGAAAGAGAGATAGTGAAAACCGAACTTTATCTGCACTGCGCGAGGAGCGCGCTGTCCTCACGGGAAGAGTATTTATTATCTTACACCGTGGCTCAGACGCTGCCGATGTTACGCGCGATCATGTGGCCCTGAATAATGCTTGCATAGCACGAGAGCGCATGCTTGGCAGAAACTTTGAAAGACCGGAGCTCGCTCTTGTAACATCGGTTGTGGCTATAGTAGAGATCAGTGCTACAAATATAGTTCGCGAAAAAACCTCAATTATTTTGTGCTACGTTGTCAAGGCTAGCGTAGCACTATATATACCAGTAACCAGACTAGGGTGTCTCAACGTCCCTCTGTTTAGGGTAATGCCATTGTTTGTAGTACCCGATGCCGACAGAACGTGCTCTCGAGAGAAATAGAAATAACCGGTAACAGAATACCGCTGTAGAAATGTCGACATTTTTCGTTGAACTCACTCACAGCCAGCTCAAAGGGAACCGTTAAAAACTCACTCACCCTCACGGCCGCACTCACCTTCAAAGTCCTTATTCACGAACTCACGCCCCTCACCGAACTCACGCTCCTCATTGAACTCATCGGACTCGCTCACTCACCGAACTCACTCACTCGCTCGAAGTAGTTCTCGCCCTCACCGTAGTCGCGGCGCTGGCGCTCGTGTTGCGCGCGGGTTGCGCGGCTTTTACAACCCCGCCACGGTCGCCGCCGTCTTCCACCGCTCTCAGCTCTGGCGCCACCGCCACACCGCCAAGTCAGAGCCGTGTATTGTCGACGAGATGTTTTGGTGGCGCCGCCTCGTGGCGCTCTCCTCTGACGCAGTTGGTAGGATGCGAGCAGATGACGCGCTATGTCAAAGCACGGAGTAGCTGTGTTAGTTCGCATCTATGCCAATTAAAAACGGTTTATTTATTAAACAAACGCGTAAAACGTTTTTGTGAGTGATTTTTCTAACGAATATTAGCGCCTCGAAGTTGCTTTTTATATATATATATATATATAAACCTAAAATGTTGAAAAACAAGCCTGGAGCTTCACATTACAGCTTGCGCGGCGTGTGTCGGGGCTATTCACAGCACCCCTGGTTCTTGTTTTTTCGGATCTGTGGAGGCTGCGGTAGAAAAAAAGGTTTGCATTAGCCAGAGTAAATGACGTTCTGTCTTCTAGCTGTGCACGCGCGCACAATTGTGTTTCAAAGCGCCGCACACTTGCTTTAGTTACATTCAGCTTGCTTATATTGACACTTCTATCCAAGTGTGACTCGACAGTTGCTGCCGAGCAAATGCTCGTTAGCAACTGACGCTTTGCTCCTCCCGCATCGAATATGAGCAAAGTTCGTAACATCACAACATCGTAACATCACAAATATATAAAAAAGATTTTTTTATAAATTCCTAAATCGTCGGTCTTGGTCCGGCAAATTCAGGAGAGACATTAATTTGTTCTATCCTATATTTACTAAAAATTGTTTACAAATGAAAAAAAAGCTCGCTGAAAAGCGCCTTATGCATTATACGCATTAGGGTCCGCATAAATTAAACATATAAGCGGTAGTAATTCATAGCAGGTGTGTACCTCATTTTTCGGGACGCTAAAGTATCACCGACTTACTAGATCTAAGACTTCGATTGCGAGGGTGTCTCGCAC